CATGTCTGTTCCCCTGAGTCGTGTGTAGTGACGTCATATCCATGTCTGTTCCCTGAAGCGTCTGTAGTGACGTCGCATCCACGCCTGTTCCCTGAGTCTTGTGTAGTGAGGTCACATCCATGTCTGTTCCCCGAGTCGTGTGTAGTGACGTCACATCCACGCCTGTTCCCTGAGTCTTGTGTAGTGAAGTCACATCCACGCCCGTTCCCTGAGCCGTGTGTAGTGACGTCACATCCACGCCTGTTCCCCGAGTCTTGTGTAGTGACGTAAACATCCACGCCTGCTCCCTGAGTCGTGTGTAGTGACGTCACATGCACGCCTGTTCCCTGAGTCATGTATAGTGACGTCACATCCACGCCTGTTCCCAGAGTCTTGTGTAGTGACGTCACATCCATGTCTGTTCCCTGAGTCGTGTGTAGTGACGTCACATCCACGCCTGTTCCCCGAGTCGTGTATAGTGACGTCTCATCCACGCCTGTTCCCTGAGTCTTGTGTAGTGACGTCACATCCATCCCTGTTCCCTGAGTCATGTGTAGTAACGTCACATCCATGCCTGTTCCCAGAGTCATGTGTAGTGACGTCACATCCATGCCTGTTCCCTGAGTCATGTTTAGTGACGTCACATCCATGCCTGTTCCCCGAATCATGTGTAGTGACGTCACATCCATGCCTGTTCCCTGAGTCATGTATAATGACGTCACATCCACGCCTCTTCCCAGAGTCATGTGTAGTGACGTCACATCCATGCCTGTTCCCTGAGTCTTGTGTAGTGACGTCACATCCACGACTGCTCCCTGATAGGATAATCTCAATCTATAATATCACTTGATCTCACCCAGGCGATATCTCTGGTGGGGGCCAGTTTTGGATGATAAAGTGGTACACCTGAGTGTAGTCTCCCTTTAACGTGAAGTTCACACAAATTTGTCTTTTCTATTGGACAAGAAACTGCAAACCTATATTCTTAACTGTATGAATGACACAATTCTAGAAATGAGAAACACTAATGGACTACTTTCCCACTTGGCAAAACTTTCAGAATCCCCTAGCATGAATAAATACAGAAACCTGACAGACTGAATCTTCCTAAAGAATCTTCTTTAACTTCACTCTGTTTGTCATTCTGATGTTGTTCCCATTTCTTTACCAAACTGGCCGTTGATTTAACGAGCGAGAGGGGACATCACTTTGTCGCCCTCCCTTACGAGTGTGATCCTTGCAAGATTACCATCTACAGAGTAAGGCCTATCGCATCGCTAACGCTGCATCGTCTCATTACATTATCCATGTCGCGCTGTAATACGGCATGAATAGGTGTGGTTTAAGAGACATTTATCATCAAAAACTGGCTCCCACAGGAGATATCGCTTGGGTGAGATCAAGCGATATCTACACTGTAGATATCGCTGCAATGAAATTACATCACAATGCTTTGCAGACCATTGTGACGTCATTGTTACCTTGACGTCACAATCAAATGACATCACTAATGGCTCTGCTACTGAAGCTGTTTGCAGTACTTTTTACACTGAAGACACTGCTAATTACTGTCTACAAATTGAAAAAGTTGAAAAAATGATGTCGGATGATAAATAAAATCTCACCCTCGTGTCTTTTGATATCAAATATATCAACACTCGTTGATAAAAGTGGCAAAAATCCTCGGCAAGCCTCTGAATTTTTCCACTTTTATCAACTCGTGTTGATATATTTGATATCAAAAGACACTCGGGGGAGATTCTCTATGTATCAGACTTGATTCTGGAGATAATATTGTCTCTAAGATATGATTCAACACTTCAAACTTTGGCCAAATATGAATCAAACATACATAAAAGCATTCTGAAATTTTAATACCCTGTTGACATTTCCAAGTGACTGTCTGTTCCCTGAGTCGTGTGTAGTGACGTCACATCCACGCCTGTTCCCCGAGTCGTGTATAGTGACGTCTCATCCATCCCTGTTCCCTGAGTCATGTGTAGTAACGTCACATCCATGCCTGTTCCCCGAGCCATGTGTAGTGACGTCACAACCATGCCTGTTCCCTGAGTCATGTATAGTGACGTCACATCCACGCCTCTTCCCAGAGTCATGTGTACTGACGTCACATCCATGCCTGTTCCCTGAGTCATGTATAATGACGTCACATCCACGCCTCTTCCCAGAGTCATGTGTAGTGACGTCACATCCATGCCTGTTCCCAGAGTCTTGTGTAGTGACGTCACATCCACGCCTGCTCCCTGAGTCATGTATAGTGATGTCACACCCACGCCTCTTCCCAGAGTCATGTGTAGTGACGTCACGTCCACGCCTGTTCCCTGAGTCATGTATAGTGACGTCACATCCATGCCTGTTCCCCGAATCATGTGTAGTGACGTCAAATCCACGCCTGTTCCCCCGAGTCATGTATAGTGACGTCACATCCATGCCTGTTCCCTGAGTCATGTATAATGACTCCACATCCACGCCTCTTCCCAGAGTCATGTGTAGTGACGTCACATCCACACCTGTTCCCTGCGTCATGTATAGTGACGTCACATCCATGCCTGTTCCCCGAATCATGTGTAGTTACGTCACATCCACGCCTCTTCCCCGAGTCATGTTTAGTGACGTCACATCCATGACTGTTCCCTGAGTCATGTGTAGTGACGTCACATCCACACCTGTTCCCCGAGTCATGTATAGTGACGTCACATCCATGCCTGTTCCCCGAATCATGTGCAGTGACGTCACATCTATGCCTGTCCCAAGAGTCATGTGAAGTGATGTCACATCCTTGCCTGTTCCCTGAGTCATGTATTGTGACAGCACATCCATGCCTGTTCCCCGAATCATGTGTAGTGACGTCACATCCACGCCTGTTCCCTGAGTCATGTATAATGACGTTACATCCACGCCTCTTCCCAGAGTCATGTGTAGTGACGTCACATCCACGCCTGTTCCCCGAGTCATGTATAGTGACGTCACATCCATGCCTGTTCCCCTGAGTCATGTTTAGTGACGTCACATCCATGTCTGTTCCCAGAGTCGTGTGTAGTGACGTCACATCCACGCCTGTTCCCTGAGTCATGTATAGTGACGTCACATCCATGCCTGTTCCCCGAATCATGTGTAGTTACGTCACATCCACGCCTCTTCCCCGAGTCATGTTTAGTGACGTCACATCCATGACTGTTCCCTGAGTCATGTGTAGTGACGTCACATCCACACCTGTTCCCCGAGTCATGTATAGTGACGTCACATCCATGCCTGTTCCCCGAATCATGTGCAGTGACGTCACATCTATGCCTGTCCCAAGAGTCATGTGAAGTGATGTCACATCCTTGCCTGTTCCCTGAGTCATGTATTGTGACAGCACATCCATGCCTGTTCCCCGAATCATGTGTAGTGACGTCACATCCACGCCTGTTCCCTGAGTCATGTATAATGACGTTACATCCACGCCTCTTCCCAGAGTCATGTGTAGTGACGTCACATCCACGCCTGTTCCCCGAGTCATGTATAGTGACGTCACATCCATGCCTGTTCCCCTGAGTCATGTTTAGTGACGTCACATCCATGTCTGTTCCCAGAGTCGTGTGTAGTGACGTCACATCCACGCCTGTTCCCTGAGTCATGTATAGTGACGTCACATCCATGCCTGTTCCCTGAGTCATGTTTAATGACGTCACATCCATGTCTGTTCCCTGAGTCGTGTGTAGTGACGTCACATCCACGCATGTTCCCTGAGTCGTGTATAGTGACGTCTCATCCACGCCTGTTCCCTGAGTCTTGTGTAGTGACGTCACATCCATCCCTGTTCCCTGAGTCATGTGTAGTAACGTCACATCCATGCCTGTTCCCCGAGTCATGTGTAGTGACGTCACAACCATGCCTGTTCCCTGAGTCATGTATAGTGACGTCACATCCACGCCTCTTCCCAGAGTCATGTGTAGTGACGTCACATCCATGCCTCTTCCCTGAGTCATGTTTAGTGACGTCACATCCATGCCTGTTCCCCGAATCATGTGTAGTGACGTCACATCCATGCCTGTTCCCCGAATCATGTGTAGTGACGTCACATCCATGCCTGTTCCCTGAGTCATGTATAATGACGTCACATCCACGCCTCTTCCCAGAGTCATGTGTAGTGACGTCACATCCATGCCTGTTCCCTGAGTCTTGTGTAGTGACGTCACATCCACGCCTGCTCCCTGAGTCATGTATAGTGATGTCACATCCACGCCTCTTCCCAGAGTCATGTGTAGTGACGTCACGTCCACGCCTGTTCCCTGAGTCATGTATAGTGACGTCACATCCATGCCTGTTCCCCGAATCATGTGTAGTGACGTCACATCCACGCCTATTCTCCCGAGTCATGTATAGTGACGTCACATCCATGCCTGTTCCCTGAGTCTTGTATAATGACTCCACATCCACGCCTCTTCCCAGAGTCATGTGTAGTGACGTCACATCCACACCTGTTCCCTGAGTCATGTATAGTGACGTCACATCCATGCCTGTTCCCCGAATCATGTGTAGTGACGTCACATCTATGCCTGTTCCCTGAGTCATGTGTAGTGACGTCACATCCACGCCTGTTCCCTGAGTCATATATAGTGACGTCACATCCATGCCTGTTCCCCGAATCATGTGCAGTGACGTAACATCTATGCCTGTCCCCAGAGTCATGTGAAGTGACGTCACATCCTTGCCTGTTCCCTGAGTCATGTATTGTGACAGCACATCCATGCCTGTTCCCCGAATCATGTGTAGTGACGTCACATCCACGCCTGTTCCCTGAGTCATGTATAATGACGTTACATCCACGCCTCTTCCCAGAGTCATGTGTAGTGACGTCACATCCACGCCTCTTCCCCGAGTCATGTTTAGTGACGTCACATCCATGACTGTTCCCTGAGTCATGTGTAGTGACGTCACATCCGCACCTGTTCCCCGAGTCATGTATAGTGACGTCACATCCATGCCTGTTCCCCGAATCATGTGCAGTGACGTCACATCTATGCCTGTCCCAGAGTCATGTGAAGTGATGTCACATCCTTGCCTGTTCCCTGAGTCATGTATTGTGACAGCACATCCATGCCTGTTCCTCGAGTCATGTTTAGTGACGTCACATCCATGCCTGTTCCCAGAGTCATGTGTAGTGACGTCACATCCACGCCTGTTCCCTGAGTCATGTATAGTGACGTCACATCCATGCCTGTTCCCTGAGTCATGTTTAATGACGTCACATCCATGTCTGTTCCCTGAGTCATGTGTAGTGACGTCACATCCATGCCTGTTCCCTGAGTCGTGTGTAGTGACGTCACATCCACGCCTGTTCCCAGAGTCATGTGTAGTGATGTAGGGAATATAAGAAGTACTGCAAAGTCAATGTGACGATTTGTTTACAGGTTGTTTGTTTGTTTGTTTAACGCTGCACTCAGCAATATTCCAGTTATCTGATGGCGATCTGTAATAATCGAGTCTGGACAAGGCAATATTGTGATTGATATCACGAGCATCGATCTACGCAATTGGGATACGATGACATGCATCAACCAAGTCAGCGAGCCTGACCACCCGATCCCGTTAGTTGCCTCCCACGACAAGCATAGTCGCCTCTTACGGCAAACATTTCGGGTCCACTGTATAAGAAAATACATTTGAGTGAGTGAGTGTGGTTTTACGCGGCTTTTATTGTTTCCATTTGGGGAATCAAGCCTGGGTCTTCAGCGTGACGAGCGAACGCTTTAGCCATGAGGCTACCCCACTGCCCCGAGATACATTTGATATACATTATACGCACGTGTAGAGATCACACCAGGAAAAGACGGCTGTGGCGTTGTACAAAGCGATCTTAGAGCTGAGGTGATCGTAACTACCATAACTTAAATAGACTTACGACAGTCGTAGCACTAAGCTTGTTTTGTACGACACTCGGTGCCCTTTTCATATACATTATATGCACGTGTAGAGATCACACCAGGAAAAGACGGTTGTGGCGTTATAAGCGATCTTAGAGCTGAGGTGATCGTAACTACCATAACTTAAATAGACTTACGACAGTCGTAGCACTAAGCTTGTTTTGTACAACGGCACTCAGGGCCTTTTTCAGCAAACACCGACAAGATAATTTAACGCCGCATAGGTGTGTAACAAATCGAGTCTGAACCAGGGAAACCAGTGACTGATATTATGAGCAACTCCCCACACCCAGGTCACGGAATCATCTATAGTCGTTTTGTACGGGAGTGAGTGAGTACGGTTTTACACCGTGTTTAGCAATATTCCAGCAATATCACGATCGGGGTATCCAGTGTGTGCTTGTACTAGTCCGGACGAATGCCGATTTTATATTCCTAGCCCACTGACATATCATGCCGCAGTTAAACATACCCCACTCAGACACAGTTTACCGACGCCGAGCGGACCATTCCTTGCTTAAGCCCATTAATGCCGAGCACGAGGCAGGGTAACAACAAGTACCATCTTTTAACGTCTTTTGGTATGATGCGGCCTGGGATCGAACACCGGACCTTCCGCTCTCTGGGCGGCCATTCTACCACTAGACCACGGAGGTGCTCCCTTCAGCCTGACAAATGAACGCTTCAACCACAAGGCTACCCCATTGGCCTGCCTCGTAAGGGCAAAGCACAGGTTGCATGGGATCGGCCCTAAACCGAAATCACTGTGTGGGTTGTTCATATGAAGGAGATTGTGTCTGTCCTTTTCAATATGTGCATTTTAGGACTTATGACAACTAATGTAAATGTAAGATAAAAATGTGTCATAAATCTTCATACATAAATAAGATATACTATTAAAATAAACAAGAGAGGTGAGTTGAAATGGGGTTTAAGGTCCCTGTCAAGAGCGACGTGCATGCATGTGTGTGTGTGTCTGTTTGTACTAGTTAAGGCTTACACTAGCCAGAGACACCATGCCGCAGTTTAATACGGGAAAAATAGATTTTTGTTAAAATTCCTAAATAGCAAAAGGAATCACTTAAGCCCTTGGTTAACACATGTACCAAGTTTGGATGAAAATTCTTTCACGGTTTTCAAGTTGTGCTACACATGAGACACCTAACCCCATCCTTGTCCAAATTGTTTCAATAGAAATCAAGAATTAAAAATAAAAAAATAAAAAAATAGCAAAAGGCACCACTTCAGTATGTGACTGATACATCTTTCAAGTTTCGATCAAATATACTGAATGGTTTTCGAATTCTTCCCCGGAAACAAACCCGATCCCACATGGAGTCTATGTCCAACTTCTTTCCATAAACATTTAAAAAATAAAAAACTCGAAAAATCCCAAAATATCAAAAGGCACCACTTCAGTATGTGACTGATAGATTTGCCAAGTTTCGATCAAATACACTGAATGGTTTTCGAGTTCTGCCCCAGGAAAGGAAATGATTACGGACAAACAGATGGACAGACAGACAGACAGACAGACTGGCTGATTGCCATTTCACCCAGCATTATATGCCGGGGGAAAAAAAGGCATCAACATCGAAAAAATGTCAATGTCATGAAGCAGTTGTCAGCATAGAAATGTTCTTACTTATTCCTGCCCGCCTACACAAAACAAAATCCTGATTAAAGAGATTTGGATGTTGTTAAATAAATGATGTATAAAGGATATGATAGGCAGCATAACAATTACACAAGTTCATCACAGTAATTCATTCAACAAACAGCTATATATTACATGCTTGCTGAACATTACTGACAGTCCACCAAACATATATATATGCACAAGCATTCCAATGGACATGCAGTAGCCTAGGTACATGATAGATAAGCCTGTGAAGATCCCCAATAGGTCTTCACCTAACATGCTTGCTGTAAGAGGCGACTGACGGATCGGGTGGTCAGGCTTGTTGACTTAGTGGATGCATGTCATCGTATCCCAGTTGTGTAGATCGAGTGGATGCATGTCATCATATCCCAGTTGTATAGATTGATGCTCATAATATCAATCACTGGTCTGTTTGGTCCAGACTTGATTATTTACAGACCCCGGTCATAGAACTGGAATATTGCTGAGTGCAGAGTTGAACAAAAAACAAACACACAAACATGATTAAAAAACATTCATATAGTGTCAAACAACGACTTGATGATGAATACACAATGCAGACAATGTATACATTTTCTAAATAGCTTTATGTCCATATTTACAATATTCCTGATTATTACACATGGGATAATCATACAGATAAAGCTTACAATATGCATATAATTTGAGTACACAGCCATTACTATGAGATCCAACATATCACAGATCCACAGACACATTCAGGCTCATCAAATCCACTATTAACAAAATCACAAAAATTAGATTACCAAACGTTATTAATGCAATAAGTAAGATTAATATACTTTTAGACACAAGACAAAGTTTAGTAAGTAATATTAACGTGAGAACTGATCTGTACTGTGGGGCAATGAAATGATTGCGACGAATGGTGACAGTTGTTAAGATGGCTGGTGACACAGACATTCAGATTCACCAATCAAAGCAAAGAACTAAGCTTCAGTCCTTCGATCAAGACAGTAAAACAATGACACTTAAATGGAAAACCTGACTTCCCTTAAACGTAGAATGAACTAGCCCTATGACCTGATCAAGCTATGGCCCTTATATACCTGAAATAGAGATAGACAGACAACTATTTACAACACAGCATACAAGCTGCTGTCTGTTGAACAACCTCCACATACCTATAAATCAAATCAAATCTAATCGATACAAATATAAAAATGACGGATTTCATCCCCGTTACAGTAAGACCTGGGGATAAATTATTTCTCAAGCATTTTGGGGAACAGATTATATATATATTTCTGAACATAAAAGGGCCCCAACTTATTTGTTGAAATCAAAACCTTATGCATTTTCCACTATGTAATGTGGTCTGTTACAATAAAGAAAAACATATAGTGTGAGTGAATTGGGTTTATTGCCGCTCTTAACAGTATTCCAGTTATATCACGGCGTGTCAGCTTAATGTGGGAGGAAAGCCCCAAGTGATGCAGGTATCAGACGTTTACCACTTCAGTGAAACCCACGAGCACGGGTATGGTGCTGACAAACCTAGAAACATAATCTGGGCGAACCGGGATTCGAGCCCACAATCATAGGTTTCTGGCGTGCCCAAGGGACGCAACTCTGCACAGCGAATCGCGGCGCCTTAGACGACTGGGCCACCCGTGCCCCCCAGAAACCATATGTAAACTCATTCAACTAAAAGAGTATTGTTATAACACCTTTCCATCGAACAATGCTTGAACAAGACACAAATACCGTATTCGACGTAATAAGCGCACTTGAAAAAGGGGGCTCTTATTAGAATATTATTTTGGTGAGTTGAAAGATAAATTTCGTGGTTTATGCTGACAGCCTGAAATGTTTATGTACAATAGATAAATTTGTCTAGAATGTTATTTCCCCATAATTAACGGTGCGTATAACACACGAGTGTGTATCATACACGAATAAATAAGTCTTGTGTACATTGATCAATCGGAAGGGGTGCTAACTGGGATTGTTCACTAGCCAATATATTAGCAATATCGCCGTGGGCGCTTATTACGTCGAATTCGGTACTTTCTTTGTTTACATTTTTTGTCAGTTTTATTCAATTCCAATTTGTAGCAAAACAGAAGCATTGAGAATCATAGCATTCGCTTGCTACTGGTCAATGAGGACTACAACCATTGGACTTCTACTGGTCCTCAGAACAGTTTAATTTTAGTGTGAATTTTCAAATTAGACATGTTATTTACCCCCATGAGCTAGGTACCAGCTTCGGAATTATGACACATTTGCTAGTCACACCAAAGACCTGGGTTCAATTCCCCATATGTGTACAATGTGCGAAGCCTACTTCTAGTGTCCCCTGACTTGATATTACTGGATGATTGCTAATAGCAGCGTAAAAACCTTACTCACTCAAATACTGATATGTAAAAGACATAGTCAGGACGCAACAAAAGCATCTACTTATCTGTGATTTATAGCTATCTAGTATCTTGCTGTCCTCTTTGATAACAGACAGTTTGTAGATACTTGGCTAGTGTAGGATGTCCTCCCCTCTGAGCTACACATTCAATGTCTCATTAATGTCTGTGTGAGGTCACCTTTGTGCTGCACAAGGAGGTCAACCACATCTTTATGTCCATGGAATACAGCCTTCATCACAGGTGTGCATCCATGTCTGCCTCTACTGTTGATGTTAGAAGGAGACAGGACATGTTGTACTATAGCTGTGTTCCCACCCTGACAGGCAAGATGAAGTAAACTATCACCATATGTATCCACCAGTGTGAGGTCAGCTTGGTTTGACACAAGGAGGTCAAACACACTATGATGTCCACTGACAGCTGCCTTCATAGCCGGTGTCCATCCATTCTCCCCTCTACTGTTGATGTTAGAAGGGGACAGGAGATGTTGTACAATTGCAGTGTTTCCACCCTGACAGGCAAGATGAAGTAAACTATCACCAGATGTATCCACCAGTGTGAGGTCAGCTTAGTTTGACACAAGGAGGTCAAACACACTATGATGTCCACTGACAGCTGCCTTCATAGCCGGTGTCCATCCATTCTCCCCTCTACTGTTGATGTTAGAAGGAGATGGGAGATGTTGTACTATAGCTGTGTTCCCACCATCACAGGCAAGATGAAGTAAACTATCACCAGATGTATCCACCAGTGTGAGATCAGCTTGCTTTGACACAAGGAGGTCAAACACACTTTGATGTCCACTGACAGCTGCCGTCATAGCTGGTGTCCACTCATGCTGCCCTCTACTGTTGATGTTAGAAGGAGAAAGGACATGTTGTACTATAGCTGTGTTCCCACCCTGACAGGCAAGATGAAGTAAACTATCACCAGATGTATCCACCAGTGTGAGGTCAGCTTGGTTTGACACAAGGAGGTCAAACACACTTTGTTGTCCACTGACAGCTGCCATCATCACAGGTGTGCATCCATGCATCCCTCTACTGTTGATGTTAGAAGGGGACAGGACATGTTGTACTATAGCTGTGTTTCCACCACGACAGGCAAGATGAAGTAAACTATCACCAGATGTATCCACCAGTGTGAGGTCAGCTTGCTTTGACACAAGGAGGTCAAACACACTTTTCTGTCCATAGACAGCTGCCTTCATAGCTGGTGTCCATCCATGTCTCCCTCTACTGTTGATGTTAGAAGGGGACAGGAGATGTTGTACTATAGCTGTGTTCCCACCATCACAGGCAAGATGAAGTAAACTATCACCAGATGTAGACACCAGAGTGAGGTCAGCTTGGTTTGACACAAGGAGGTCAAACACACTTTGATGTCCATTGACAGCTGCCTTCATAGCTGGTGTCCATTGATGCATCCCTCTACTGTTGATGCTAGAATGGGACAGGAGATGTTGTACTATAGCTGTGTTTCCACCCTGACAGGCAAGATGAAGTAAACTTTGACCAAATGTATCCACCAGTGTGAGGTCAGCTTGCTTTGACACAAGGAGGTCAAACACACTTTGATGTCCATGGACAGCTGCCGTCATAGCTGGTGTCCATCCATGTCTCCCTCTACTGTTGATGTTAGAAGGGGACAGGAGATGTTGTACTATAGCTGTGTTCCCACCCTGACAGGCAAGATGAAGTAAACTATCACCAGATGTAGACACCAGAGTGAGGTCAGCTTGGTTTGACACAAGGAGGTCAAACACACTTTGATATCCCTTGAAAGCTGCAGCCATTGCTGGTGTCAATCCATGCTCCCCTCTACTGTTGATGTTAGAAGGAGACAGGACATGTTGTACTATAGCTGTGTTCCCACCAGCACAGGCAAGGTGAATAATTTCATATCTATTCTTGTCTATCACATCCATTTGTGATACTTTGCTCAGTAACTGAAAACATCCCTCTGATCCTGTGTGTGCTGCAACCATGACAGGGGTTCTGCCATTCACATCAATAGAGTTTATAACATTATTCCCTGGTTTCCAGTTTAACAAGACTTTGAGGGATTTTTCCATTCCTGACTTGCAGACCAGATGAAAGACATTTTGCATGTTCTTGTCACTTGTGTAAATATCAGCGCCTTCCTGCAGTAGACATACAAGTGTGTCCGAGCTGCCATTTTCAGCTGCTACCAGCAAAAGTCTGTTCAGTGTCAATAGATGGTCATGTTTTTCACTCCTGGTGAACAACCATTTCAATACTGTCACATTGTTGCTTTGTGCACATCCTTCCATTGCCTCACTGATCTCTCCTTGAGTGAACTCTTCTCCAGTTGTGTGTTCTATATCTGTGACTAGATGTGCATTATGTCCAAGAGCAGCCCAGTACAGAAAATATTTTCCTTTCTCTTTCCTGTGAAGCCACGGTTCCTCCATAGAATCCTGATGGAGATGTTTTGTCCCATCACACTGAAGTTTGCTGAGCAAAATAGAAACTATTCTGTCTTGTTTGAGAATTGGATGTGTCACTGATTTAGAAAACTGTCCTTGTTTAATTGACTGTGCAAACCTTGTGGTTATGAGGTCATCATAATTCTCTGAGACATATATCAAATGGAGATGATCGTCAACTTTCGTTTCATCAACCTTATCACCTTGTAGTCTTTCAAACAGAAAGTCATCACTGCAGTGCTTCAAAACAAAGACTGGACTGATATTGTACAAGGCACAGGCACAAGCATCATAGATTGAAGAATGAGCAAAGCCAACAGTGTCTCCTCTGGTGAAGAATGTACCTCTCAAACTTTTAGCTGCTTTGTACATGCCTGAACGTGTAGCATCAGCCATCAGCTGTAAAACAGTTTTGACCAGGCTGTCCATTTTCTTGTCCTCACCTCCACTGTCTAACTTGGTCAGGTCCAATTTGTTTTCACACAGTAGCATCAGAGCCAAAATGGCTGATCGATCGTTTCTCTCTTCAAGCAAATGCTTTAGTTCTAACCTAAGATAAAACAGTGGTTCCTTGAAAAATGATTTTGCATTTTTGAAGAATGATGAAAATTCAAAACAAAGTTTACAAATAAGAGGGAATCCAAAGATATTTGAATTGATTTCCAGCTCACTGTAATCAGGTATATGCTGCATTGAGCAGTCACCAAGAGCATTCCTGTGTCGTTCAAATATTGTCCTTTTCTCGGTGTCAGAAAGCCAGTATTTATCTTGTGTAGTTAAATCCATTACTGTCTGACTCTTGAACAGTTTGAAACTGTAGTACTGCAGTTTTGCAAGTCCATCATGGAAGTTGTATGACTTTGACGTGAAGATAACACGAACATCCTTTGCTTGACTTTCTCTTTGGCCCTGCACTTTCTTTCTGGATTTATCTCCGTCATCTTCTTCTGACTGCAGTTCCCCTGCTGGCTGCTTTTGTTCTAAATGGAGGAGAAGATTGTTTAGAAAGGATTTCACCTGTGAAGTATTCGCAGATAATCCAACAGTACCAAACATGTCATCTACTATGAGAAATACTCTGGGGTGTCTACTCAGACAGAGGTCTAAGTCAAACTTCTCCAGGTTGTCCACAAACACGACCTCGTAGCCCTTAGAACTATACTGTGAACCCAACACCAGAGCCATCGTTGTCTTGCCTTCTCCAGAAGCCCCGCAGATGGTCACATGACCAAATGTCTTCAGTTTTCGTTTCACTTCTTTGCAGGCTTCAGTTTGAACGAACATCTTCCTCGCTTCGTTTGTGCGTAAATCCAGAGTATCTGTGAACAAATGAAAAGCATTTACCACACAAGGAAACATTAGGATACAAACATAGAGCAAAACAACATAGTTGGCTATTTCATAGTCGGGTGTCACGATAAATCAAAATATCGACAAATTGCTATTGGTAAGCACTTTAAGTCAATAAATTGATTGTTAAATCAGTTTCCGATCAATTGTATCGATTTCAGTTAGCAATATCGATAGTTTCGATTAGAGGGGTGGGGAGTGTCACTTATGCTGAAATAAGTAATGTATCTTGGATCAGTAATGTGTATCGTACCATTGCATGATGTAGTTTCCCCCCTAGTGTCAAACATCTTTGTGTTAGTCTGAATGGTTGGAGTTGTATGTTATAAAGTGCAGCATTCTGATTTGTCCACTAGCGGTATCAAATCTTTGTTAGACTAAGATTCTGTCCATGACCACAAATGTCAGCTTGACTTGTGTTGTTCCCCTCATCAGTGGGAGCAACAACGAGTTCATTGAGAGGGGTGGGTAGAGTTTGATGTTGAAATACATGTCTGCCAATGGTGTACCGCTAAACAAAGACCTGAGGACATCCCATTACGGGTCACGTCAGACCGACCAATGGAATGACCAATCAGAAGGCAGCTTTCTTGTGCTTTACGGCACTTATTTCAAATTGGCAACTACGCTTCAAAACATATTTTGACAAATTCTTGATTACAAATTTGAAACCTGAACAAAAGTACATTCTTGAATGGCTAATAGATGGTCTAGATGGTATGGATTCAGTCGTTAAACCCGTAACTATTGTTCAGAGTTAAAGTTTTCGAGGTTGCATGATTAGAAATTACATTCCAACTGTCACTTTCATGATCTGGTAAGCGATGCTCTGATTGGTCGGATGAAAGGTCGTTCTGACGTGACCCCTAACGGGATGTCCTCAGATCTTTGTTTAGCAGTAGCGAGAACTGAGGTCTGATTTTAATGAGATTGGAGAAATGCCAAGTGCGAACCACTGATTGCTGTTAATCCTTGACACCCTCAGAAAGTACAGGGGAGCGTTATTGAGTTATTTTGCATAGTCTTTGTCAGGCAATCTGAGTGGTTCTACCACTAATTATACCTGACATTAAGTCATTAACTGAGCAGCAAGTTATGGTTCAACTGAGGTTCATATGAGGGTTTCATGTTGCAGTTTAGTCATCCGTCATAATCTTATTTGTGCTCACAAGGTATATGAGGTATGTGACATATACTTTGTTTGATTTATGCACATATTTAATAGGCCGGGGAAATTGTTATCCTCTCATTCAGTTTACATCCGGTAGCCAATAACCATGCAATGGCAAAGTGGGGCTTAATCATGTTAATTTACAGTCTAAATCCAATGTGTTTCTTTAATATTATAGGTCTATTGACATATGGATGTCAGAAATAGGATCCAAAACAATCTCTGTCATCTTATCATCCATTCATTCAGAAATCCGAACATGCTTTTGCAGCAGGGGTACTTTTTTCTCTCAAACTATAACCATAAGTAGTACAAGAATTTCAAAATTACACCATCCGATAAGCTTCTGGATGTTCTTTTTGTCTTTTTATTTGTTAAGGTTGAAGAAATTTATTAATATGTGCCCTTTGTAATATCGAAATGTTCATAGACAAGGGTAGCCCATCAATGCTCAGAAATGTGTATAGATGTTGCTCAGTGTTTATTTCCGCTGTTTTTACAGACGGTAGCACAGGTTCTTGTCACGCTCAGTTGTGTTGGCCAAGAAATCGACTCACTGCAGCTGGTGAGCCCCAGCGGGTAGTGTTAGACAGCCGGGTAGAAGCCAGTGCAATCTCATTAAAATCAGATCTAAGTTCTCACTGCTGCCAAACAAAGATCTGAGGACATCCCATTACGGGTCACGTCAGAACGACCTTTCGCGAACTTTGACAGACCACTGAAACAACTAACAAAAAGTCGGCATTAGCCAATTAGAAAGCAGCTTTCTCGAGCTATAAGGCACTCATTTCAACCTGGCCACTTCCATTTCAGACTATGCTTGAAATACATGTTGACACAGTTCTCGATTAACATTTTGAATACCCAGTCTTAACTTGTTTGAGGTTGCATGATTAGAAAACACATTCCGACTGTCATTTTCACGTCTCTTGTAAGCGACACTTTGATTGGTCAGATGAAAGGTCGTTCTGATTTGACCCGCAATGGGATCAGGGGTCCTCAGATCTTTGTTTAGCGAGACTCACTCACATATCTTATCACACTCACTCACATATAAGATCTGATTTTAATGAGATTGAAGCCAGTGTTGCGTCCCTTTTACCTTTCAACAAAAGCCCCCCTTTCTATTTTTTGTTTGTTTGTTTGTTAAACCGTTTATAGCCACACTCAGCAATATTCCAGCAGTATGGTTGTGGTCTGTAAATCATCAAATCTGGACCAGATAAACACGTAATTAATATGATGACATTAATACATATAAGTGACAAAGCCCTTTCCATAATCATAAGAATCATAATCCATTGTACGATTCCAACTATATCATCAGCACCTGCACATGAATCTTCCACAAGATCTAGTTGTCAATTGAATTTGATCTTTCAGCCATGAACGCTCACCTCTTCCTAGTGTTCCTTGTCCGGCCTGTCCTGTGATGATGTTCAGAGTGTTGGCCACCTGGGAGTTCCCTGGAGGATGGTCACCTGTCAACACCAATGAGGAATCATCAGTAACCATGGTAACAAACCTTTGAATCAGATGCAGTGCATCAGAGAGGGGTTTTCTCTTTTTTTACATTTTAACACTCCAGGAATATTGCTTTCAAGAGTTTATTGTTTAATGCCCTTATCATATTTATAGGGACATAAATCGATTAAAAGGATTGAACATATTTATTTTGTCATTTTCCGAAAATTATGCATTTAAACTCTTTGGCAACATCAATAACACTAGCCAGTCTATTCAGAAAAGTAAAGTATAATCGAACAGCTAGTTTTTTAAATCACTAGCCAAATGCGTGAAGCAACTCTCCCTGTATGCCTTGGAATGTTATAAAATGAAGACTTCAAATGCAGCAATTAAAAAACATTTGGAGCTCATTGCTATAATTCACAGAATGCGTCCATGACAACAATCAAAAGTTTTTTTCAAGACTAAGTTTAAAAATTAATTTCCTACGGTAATTTTTAGGAAAGTGCACCATCTCTACTTATTCTACAATCAATCCATGCTATCAGAAATTCACTTTTTGTAGATAAGTACTTGCCAGGACCAAATGTGGTGGTGTTGTTGTTGTTGTTTAACGCCGAACTCAGCAATATTTCAGCTACATGACGGTGGTCTGTAAATAATCAACCCAGTCAGCGAGCCTGACCACCCGATCCTGTTAGTCGCCTTTTATGACAAGCATGGGTTGCTGAAGACCTTTTCTACCCCGGAATCTTCACGGGTCAGGACCAAATGTGACAGAGTCTTAGCATTTGTTTAGCCGGCCAGCATATTAGCCGAGTCCTGCCAACACCAATCTCGATTACTGAAGTAACACATTTCCTGATCAGAGAAATAGTTAATAATGTTCCTAGGATTTGATTAGTTTCAGTTGTTGCTTTTGAAAAAAATTGTAAATACTGTTCCTGGGTAAATTATTTCATAAATGACAAACATCGTGACACTAAAGAGGGCAACAGTGACACCCACCTGTACCTAATCTCACTAGGTCAAGGTCCTCCTCGTGCTCAGCTGAACCTGCCATTACCAGTTGACCTTCAGGTTACTCGTCTGAACTGGCCATGTCAACATCAGAAATGGGCAAGTGACCTTGAGACTCAGAAGTGTCCATGTGACCTTCCGACTGGTCACCAGAAGTGACCATGACCAAAGGAAGTCCAATTTCCTAATCTGAAATGAAAAAACCCAGGATATAATTGTGTTGATGATCATGACCTTGATGCCCTGACAGTTACTTTTACCTTACTTAATTTCTTAAAATGCAATCATTTTTAAAGTCTTTTCAGAACAATTGTGTGAATTCTTATCCCGCGACCTTGACCTTTAAATTGGACCTACTTATGACATGGGCCAAAAAACAAGGTAGGCTGAGTAGCCAAAATAGGCGGATGTTTAAAGTCATGCCCCCAGACGGCTCTACAAAGGACACCTTTCTCTCCTCGCTGGGGCTCTTGCGGGGACAATCTTAAATACTTAAAGCCAGGTACATGTATGATGCACACTGGCTCTGGATCACTGGGGTACATAGCAACCTGCCGTATCTCCCGACGGGCCCTTCCATACACTGCCTGTTTGTTATGCTGGTATTGGCGCAAGCTTGCAATGGCGACCTCCAGGGTCCCTGGTTTCATGTTAGACACGAATTGTCCAGCCTCCTTGACAGAGACGCATTATCACCTGGCGATCGATGAACTGGTCTGGACAATCCCTGAAAGCTACCACAGACGTGGCCAATAATCGATGTGCCCAGTCTTCTAATGTCTCTCCCCCCTCTTGCCTCATGGTAGGGAATCGTATCTGTGCCGTCTCTGCAAGTTCACTGCGTTCAAACTGTTTTTGTAGTTTAAACACCATATCCTCAAAGGACAAGTCCGGGTCCCGGTCCAGACACATAGTTATATAGTCACTTGCCACGTCTCGCATCACTAATGTGAGTTGATCCTTTTTCTCCTGTTCCCACCAACCCTCTCTGCGGGCCAATGTTTGGAATTTGAGGTAGAAGCCTGACCAACCAGATCTTCCGTCATATGTTAGGTTAGGGGTACTATGGCGTTGGGGCTGGTCTCTTGCTCCTTCCCTTCGTTCGAGGCTTCTGCGAACTGGACCTCTATTCACGCCCATATCCCGTCTAACTGCATCACCCTTGCGGCTAGGCTCTCATGGGTCCTCTTGCTCATCCACGTCACTTTCCTCCGCTTGATAACTATCCACGGGGGCCCGGTCCTGGTCGCCTCGACCATCTGAATCTCTTCTATCAGGGCCTCTTCTGTTAAGTCCTCTGTCCCGTGTGGTCTGGTCAGTATCAGTTGGTTCCTGCTTGACCACCTTGGGATCTGGTGCGACTTGATGGTCAATTGCTGACTGGTAGCTGTTCACTTGCTTGGGCAAAGGGTAATCCCCAGTGGATGGATTCACCCCATGTGCATCCATGCTCTTCCAGGAGTTAAAGGGTGAGCTGTGGCCCCAATTGGCTCCCTTGTTTGGGGTCCCTTTGAGCTGGTACAGGCTTGAGTTCCCATACTCGCCAGAACTGTCCGATTGAAACTGGGGAGTACCTCCCTCCTGGCGATCCTTGAGCATGTTTCCGGTTCTGCTCCGTAGTCAGATAGTCCACACTCTGCAACAATTGCTTGTGTTGTGTGTCCGCGACTCCCCAACGTTGCTGTAAGTCGAGAGCGCAGGTGGCGACAATCTGTAGTCCTGTTCCCTCGGCACCGGCGTTACGGGCTCATTTTTTACTGGCGATTCTTTCCCGGGAGAAACCGCCTCCCCACTATACTCGCTCCCCTCTGCTCTTGAAGAAGGGTGATACTGTCTTTGTGGGGTGTCGTCCAACCTCGGTTCCAGGTGAACCCGTGGTCCCCTTTGGATACTGGAAACTATTTCCCGCAACGGACTCATAAGTGCCGGCCTGTCTTGCTGCAGGCCATAGTTCTTGGCCGGGCCTTGTAGTGCGGGAGCCAAATTAGCCAACGCCTTGACAATCTGCAAGCCAGTTTCAGCCTGGAACTTAGCTATCTCCTTCATCTGTTCCCGACTCATCCGCAAGCCAGTTTCAGCCTGGAACTTAGCTATCTCCTTCATCTGTTCCCGACTCATCCGCAAGCCAGTTTCAGCCTGGAACTTAGCTATCTCCTTCATCTGTTCCTTACTCATCCGCAAGCCAGTTTCAGCCTGGAACTTAGCTATCTCCTTCATCTGTTCCCGACTCATCCGCAAGCCAGTTTCAGCCTGGAACTTAGCTATCTCCTTCATCTGTTCCCGACTCATCCGCAAGCCAGTTTCAGCCTGGAACTTAGCTATCTCCTTCATCTGTTCCTTACTCATCCGCAAGCCAGTTTCAGCCTGGAACTTAGCTATCTCCTTCATCTGTTCCCGACTCATCCGCAAGCCAGTTTCAGCCTGGAACTTAGCTATCTCCTTCATCTGTTCCTTACTCATCCGCAAGCCAGTTTCAGCCTGGAACTTAGCTATCTCCTTCATCTGTTCCCGACTCATCCGCAAGCTTGTTTCAGCCTGGAACTTAGCTATCTCCTTCATCTGTTCCCGACTCATCCGCAAGCCAGTTTCAGCCTGGAACTTAGCTATCTCCTTCATCTGTTCCCGACTCATCCGCAAGCCAGTTTCAGCCTGGAACTTAGCTATCTCGTTCATCTGTTCCTTACTCATCCGCAAGCCAGTTTCAGCCTGGAACTTAGCTATCTCCTTCATCTGTTCCCGACTCATCCGCAAGCTTGTTTCAGCCTGGAACTTAGCTATCTCGTTCATCTGTTCCCGACTCATCCGCAAGCTAGTTTCAGCCTGGGCTGCCAGCATCTCTGACAGTCTCCTTTCCTGAGCCTCTGCCATGTTTTTCTGATGGTCCAACAGTCTCTCCATAACGTCCCACCCCCTCAGATGTGTCTGGGTCTGTGCCATTCCCCCTCCGGCCTGGTCATCTCCACCCTGCTGCATCCAGTTGTATGGATTTGTCTCCGGCTGTTGCACATGCCGATCCTCCATCCTCTCTGTATGGTTCCTTCGCCTGTTGCCATGGTCGGGGTTTATGGCAAAGTCTAACTGGCTCACCACCTCGTCACCGTCATCAAATCCCTCTAAACTGCGGACATCATCCAGGATGAGATTACCCACCACACTTCTCCGGTCTATGATCCTCTGCGCCAGTCCTATATCAATCCCCTGGATTTCACATATATGAGAGCAAGTGGCATAATTGACTCTCACCCCCTTATCCTCCATCTTCCAACAGTGTGTAGAATACTTTGGAAAATCACACAGAGCAATGAACAATAAATCTAGACAACTATTTACCCTTACACTAAACACCTACGCTATTTGTTATGACCTCTCAACTCACGAACTTATACGTCCGTGACGAAAATGGGTGACTCTCGCGAGGCAATGTCAACAAACATCCGTTACGAGCTGTCACCAATTGTCACACACAACTACACATGTGAAAGGGTCATAATTGATATAAGAACAAGAATTTCAAATACGCTACTGTTCCCTAATTATTAATTATTGTGCACAGCCACGAAAACGGCCGTACTTGATCAACGCACGCAGATTTCCACGTGCGTGAACTATAAATTTACCAGCCAATACGGAACCGGCCGTGAAAAGAAATTACTACTACGAAGTCGCACGGTACTAACCGTGCGAAAAATGTTTCCACTCGTCGCAAAATGCTAAAGTTTCATTCAACTTTAGCCAAATATCCCTCTTGTCCCTGTAGCCAAGACAAGCAAGATGGCGACGGCGTGGCGGCAATGTCGAGCAGTCGACGAATTCGGAAAAAAATCTTTTCCCGAGAAAATACGATGTGTTCACAGAGCCACTGTTGTGAAAACGATATCTCGGTTTCACAAACCTTGTTTTCTACTCACGTACAAGGGCTGTCAGTTCGTCAAGTCAGTACATAAGTCAATACTGCATTGAGCTGGGTACTCGACCTGGCTTACTTACAACGATGGCTGACATTTATTTTCGGGTCTCCCGTGGTAAGCCACGGGACGACCAACTCGAACCTTTCCGAAGACCTCCGGAAACCTACGATCACTACAGAACAATTGTCAATCAAAGCAGACGCTTCCCAACTCACTGAAGATATCAATGTGTTCACCACTTGTCGCTGAAGTTATTTTACGCGATGTAAGGTATTCAATAAGTAGATCTAATGAAAACGTACGTCAAAACTTACCTTTTCACTAATGCACATTTTAATCAAACTTGATCTGATGATAATTTTGCATTAGAACAATCGTATGAACCAGTCTACTGTAAACTTCCTATCTGTTATGTCATGTGACTGACCATGCTGTGCATCTATTTATAACTTGACTGTCATGGAGGATATGCGAAATCAGGTGACGTTACAAGATGGCGCCTGATTGACTCGTCAAGCATGGCGGGCATTATCACGATTAAATTGACAAGATGTGGTCATTAATTGTCTATCCAATTGTAAACAGAAATAAATGTGCTCATATATAGGTAAGACTTCATTTTAGTGCATTGCGATTGTTATTAGATACATAATGAGAAATTCTAGGGGCGTTACCTTCTGCAGTTCTGGGCGAAACAATCACATGCCGACCGCGAAGGAGGGTACCTGCTGTTGCTGAAGGCGTTGCAAGTTTCGGGGTGGCGCGTCTTCTCTTGGGTTGACTTTCGATAGCTTGACGAGTTGTTCAGTTGACTTATGATCGCTTTCAGACCGTCTAGATCAACCGCATTTGATTATCATCATCTTCAATGTGTTCGTGTCCCAGCGATTCTGCCAGTCACCCTTTCAAGGTCTTTGGGGTGGATATGTGGTAGATATACTTGAGACGCAGTAAACTCGGCCCCGAGAAGCTATTTATAGCCTTGTCCCGCGGGCCATATAAATGAACAATTTCATTGGTCAAAACGGACCAGCGAAATTCTAAATAATATTTTAGCCACATTATGAAAGACCTTATGGAATAAATAAGCAATAGAACTACATTGATCAACTTGTACATGGGAAAGCTGCAACAA